TTCCAGTGGAGTTTGAATCTGGAGACATATCCAAGCCGTCGTCCAAGCCGTCGTCTTGGTTGTCTTCAGTTTGAGGACCGAGGAGCCGACATTTGCTGTGTAGACCCCTTCTTTGTTCCAGAGGAAGGATCGCCGAAGACCTGGAGTGGAGCCCGAAAACATGGTCAGAGGATGAATTTTGGACTGGTGTAGAAGCACGAACCTCTTCATGAGGCGCGTCTGATTTGGTGTCTATCGAAACTTGTCTCCGCCGTCTATCGCGTTCAATAGTAGCTAGCCAAAGGCCCTCAAGGTCGACTTCGGCCCTCTTCTCTTCCGTGAACATCTGCACTACAACTCGAGTGCCCCCCACGATGTTACCAAACCCCTCGACCTTCCGAGATGCCTGTTCCCCGACCGGGGAGTTTTCGACAACGCCTGCGTTTACACAGATCCAGCCGGTAGTGATCCCGTCATCCTTCTCGTCGACCGTTGTTCCAGCACGACTGGCGACCCTGGCGCGTCGAGCCTTACGGCGAAGTTTGATTTTGAGTTCGTTCCGACCCAGCAGTCCATCCGCATAAGGTGTGAGCTTGTAGGTGCTTCTCAACCAGCGACAAAGACGATCGGCGGAAACATTTAGATGCTTCACACTACGAGCGGTGCCAATAATCATGATGGCATTGGCGCCAATGGGCGGGGGTGTCTCGAGACCTCTAAGGTCAAGTAATCTCAGTTCATCCAAGCCAAGATCTTTGAAAACGTAATCGAGGAGGACAGGCAGAATGGCTGGTGAGTTTTCAGGGAGCTCCGGGATCTGGTCTCGAGATGATATTTGGCGCGACTCGTCGATCGGCGTCTCTTCCTGGAGATACCAGGGCGTATGTTGAGATGACGCCGTAGAGGTAGTTCTGTGAGTATTTCCATTTCCGTCATTTGGATCAGGCTTCAATGGCTGACTACTAGAGGGTGAGTCCTCGGAGCGAAGGCGAGGTGCGGACCAGAAGGTTCGACTGTTGACATTGTAAGTTGAGCGGCAGAGGAACGAACGGCCAAAATTAGATGGGCATGCACGCAACAATCCGTTAAGGCCCCTGGGGCCTTTGGACAATATCCGATTCATTTGAAGTATGTTCGACTGGGACCAATTGAGAGGTCAAGGACTGCTCAACGATGGCGATATGAATGGCCGATATTCAGTTCTTTCCCTGTAGTGCAAACAGTGCAAATCACTTGCTGACCAAGCAGGATGGTTTGATAAGCAGTCAAACACATCAAAAAAAATGTTTCCTCCGCGGGGCAAAAGCAGTCATTTATCATCCTGTCAAGAGTCTACGACTCTGATTTTATATTCTATTTTTGAGCTCTCTGTATTCCAACTCTTTTTTCATTAAGGGCTTCAAGATGTCGATGGATCTAGATGCCCCAGTTCCCTTTGCGGCTCCCCAGGAGGCTATCTCTGCAACGTAAGTCGTCCCCTCACATTTCGTGCATTCGAAAAGAAGTTTATGAGACTTGTGAACTTCGGCTGACTCTTGTGACTCTCTAGAATTCTCTGTTGCAACTGTGGAGCTCCTATCGACGGAACAACATCAGCGGGCGCTCTCTGTCAAGATTGTGTTAGATTGACAGTCGATATCAGCCAGGGTATTCCCCGCGAAGGTGTCCTTCATTTCTGCAGAGATTGTGAGAGATGGCTTCAGCCGCCAAGTGCTTGGGTCAGCGCCGCACTTGAATCGAAAGAGCTTTTGGCGCTGTGTCTGCGCAAGCTTAGGGGGTTGAACAAAGTCAGAATCATTGACGCGAGTTTCATCTGGACCGAACCCCATTCGAGACGTATTAAGGTCAAGATCACAATTCAGCAGGAGGCGTTCCAAGGAACCATTGTCCAGCAAGCTTTTGAAGTTGAATATGTTGTTCACGCTCAGCAATGCCCCGACTGCGCGAAGTCATACACCCACAATACATGGAGAGCGTGAGTAGCTTTTGGTCCGGCGACACCTGTGGTTTCTTGCTAACTTCGTCTCTAGTTCTGTGCAAGTGCGGCAGAAGGTCCCTCATAAACGAACATTCCTCTATCTGGAACAATTGATTCTCAAGCACAACGCTCATCAAGATACGGTCAACATCAAGGAAGCAAAGGATGGATTGGACTTTTTCTTTGCCCAGAGGAACCATGCGGAAAAGATGGTTGATTTCCTGTCATCTGTCACGCCAATCAAAGTCAAGAAGTCTCAGGAGTTGATTTCTATGGATATCCACACGTCGACCAAGTCATACAAATTCACCTTCTCCGTCGAGTTGGTTCCTATCTGCAAAGACGATTTGGTGGCTCTTCCCATCAAACTGGCCAGGTCCCTCGGCAACATCTCTCCATTGGCCCTTTGCCATCGTGTTAGCACCTCAGTCAACCTGATTGATCCAAACACACTTCAGACGGCCGAAGTGCCCACTGCAGTGTATTGGAGAGCACCATTCAAGAACCTTGCGGACGTCAACGAGCTCGTGGAATTCATCATCATGGACATCGAGCCCGTTGGCCGTTCGAATGGACGATTCCATCTTGCTGAGGCGACTGTTGCGCGTGCCTCAGACCTGGGCTCGAACAATCAGACCTACTTCACTCGGACGCACTTGGGAGGAATTCTGCATGTCGGCGACTCTGTACTCGGTTACCATCTCACCGGCGCAAACTTCAACGACCCCAACTTTGAAGCCATCGAAGCCAGCAGTCAATACGGCTCTACTATTCCGGACGTTGTACTGGTCAAGAAGCACTATGCTCGCAAGAAGAACAAGAAGACTCGCAACTGGCGACTTAAGCGGATGGCTCGCGAATATGAGGAGGAGGCTCTGCAGCAGCAGGGAGCGTCGATCAGTCGCAAGCAAGAGCAGGAACGCGAACGCATGGAGGCCGATTTTGAAATGTTCCTGCGAGATGTCGAAGAAGACCAAGAATTGCGTAGTACCCTGCAACTGTACAAGAACAAGAATGCCCGGCCGAATGATCGTATGCAAGTCGAAGGCGGTGCTGGTGGCATGGATATGGATGAGGACGAGAGCGATGATGAAGCGCCTAAGATCAGCATGGAAGAGTTGCTCGACGACTTTGACGAGCTGAACGTGGATGACGAGGAATGAACGCTCAATTGAGCTAACCATCATTGCATTGAAGGATTCTGGCGTTTAATCAAGGTTTCGTGTGCTTTCGACTTCTAGGTCAAACAATACCCGGGCAATCAAAAAGTTTTCTCATGCAGATATATAGAATACATTCTACATTCCTGAGTTTGGACAAAAGGAAACAGTTGCAAGTAGTGGATATCTATGAATGGCGTATCGGCATGCATGCAGATTAGAAGATTTTGCTCAGCACACGCTTCGCATCATCTTCCAACGTAGAAATATCCTTGACCTTATCCCGTCCCATCTTGACCTCGCTCTGTTTGAACAACCTGCGGACCTTGAGTTCAGACGCAGCCGCAGCCGCAGCCGCATCAGCAGATCCCTCACCCTCACCGGGCCCCGTCTCCCCTTTCTTCTTTTTCTTCTCCTCATTCTTCTTCTGAATCCCCTGCAGAACCTTACCCTGCTCCACACCCTGCAAGAACACCTTATCTTCCTTCCGGGCCCTTGTATCCTCAATCCGCCTCTTCGCCTCCCTCTCCGACCTCTCCCGCTGCACCTGCTCCATCAGATCCGCCCACTTGAAGCCCTTCAGGTACTTCATGTTCCACACATCGTCATGGTACCACCCGCCCTTCTTCCCGCCGACGATGGTCGCATTCAGCGTCTCCGCGCAGATCTTTGCCGTCTTCTTCGAGGCGAACTCCACCCAGCCGTCAGCGTAGGATTTCCGCTTATTGGATCGTCGGCGAGGGGCGGAGTTCGATGGCACCTCGGGAGTCAAGAAGACCTTGGTGATGGGTCCGAAGCCGCGGGTTTCGAGCATAGATTTCAGAGCGAAGGGTTTGAGGTACGGGGGGAGAGAGGAGAGGTAGATGACGCCCGTTTTGTTCTTCTTAGGCGGCCGGACTTTGTCCAGGGGTTTCTTCTTCAGTTTTGTTGGTTTGGAACTGACGCTGGATGCGGATGGTGATTGCGATCGTGATTGTGAGGGTGAGTGTGCGGCTGTCGTGTCGAGATACTGATCTACTTGCATTTTCTCCCCGTCGTCTGCTTCATCTTCGTCGTCGCTGTCATTGCTGCGTTCCGTTGTTTGGGACTTGGACTTGGGTTTGCCCTTGAGCCTGGTTTTCGACTCATCTTCTGACTCTGAGCGACCGAAGTCCGATTCCTCGTCGCTGAGATCGTCTGCACGCGTGTGTGTCTTGCGTCGCTTCGCAAGTCGACCTTTGCTCTCCTCTGCGGCCGCGGAGTCGTAGCCGCGGTCACTGCCCTCATCGTCGTCGGAGACGATATCCAGGAATTCGTTTCTCTTGCGAGTCGTCATTTTGATATTTCTGTATGCGGTCTGGCGTAAGAGAGCGGAGACGAGATTTCTATACCGCAGTTGCTTGGTGGTATTATCCTGATCGCTGCGAGGTTTCTGGAACTTCATGCAACTTTTTTTGTTCCGCCGACTGGTCCGTGCACTATCCCGGTGCGCAGCCAATCATTTAGCATCTGCTAAAACCACAGTATTAAGCATACATCATGTGGCATACTACGAGTGTATCACGGAATTAAGTAGGATAACAGATATTTCATATATACATATGCGTATGAATGATATATTCATGCTCTGTCGATCTAACAAAATGCTCAAAATGGCAGAGGTATCCATCAAACTACGTGCTCAGGGCTGGTCCTGATCACCCATGCAGAAAACAACACAACAAAGTCAGGAAACTTCAAGACGCCGCTTCTCTCGAGGTCTAGTGCGGGAAGTGGAATAAAAAAAAAATCACAGATAGTGTGAAGGCCGATTGAATCGCTTGAATCGCACAACCGTGAGAAAGTTATGCGTAAAGTGGGAATCTAAAACATAGGGAAAAGCTTCGTCGTCATGGCTTCACCTGTTAAATCCCCAATGACCACTTTAATCGTTCATATGTGAAAAAGGCTGTGGCTGACATCGGCAGCACCTTGATATAGCCGATTGTCAAGCCAACAAAGAACCCTCGTAAACCCTTCTCGAGCCATATCTTGCCTGCTGTCTCCGCAATACCCAATCGGCGTCCGTCCCCAACGGCTCCCCCAACTTGCATTCGGCGTCGAACGACTTCAAGAGGATAGGAGCATGTCTGCGACACAAGACCGGCGATAGCGCCGGAGAATAATTCCGCCGCAGCGGTGAGCTGTGGCCGTCGTGAGCCCTTCTGCGACTGGCTGTGGGAGGACTGATCAGATGCTGGGATGATGGTGTAGCGAGCGAGGAGAGGAGAGCGAAGCCAGTCGCCGACGGTGTCGTGTGTGAGGAAAGAGACGCCCGCGTAGGGAAGCATGCCGAGCAGGGTGGGTGTGAACCCGCGATAGAAGTTGGCTAACCCATATCGAGGAACGACCTTGTTCTCCGCAGAAGAGACATTCTCTGCTGCAGCCGCAACAGAGCCTGCTGTCCCTTTGGCTGCGGCCAACTCACTGGATGCAGACGGCAGCGAACCCCGCTCGTTATAGATCTGTCGGAACGTGCCTGCCAACGACGACCGCGCGGACTTCTTCGTCTCAAACGCTAGCCGCACCCGAATCAATTCTAACGGATATGTGAAGAACACTGACGTGACACCCGCCAGACTCCCAGACATGAGTCTGCGGAATGGCGTCTCCTTGTCCCGCGAGGGAATGATCACGGCACGAATCTGCTCATATGCGAGAAATTTGATGGCAGCGTAGGGGAAAATTCGAAGAAGCGTTGCGGAATGACCTTTGAAAAGACCGCGCGCACCCTCGTGTCGATGGATATCCCGAACCGCTGATACAAGGCCAAACCAGCTACCTGTATACTTGGCGAATTGCGGATTAGACGCTTGGAAAAGGATCTTCACGCGGTCGAGCGGCGCGACAACCGTCTTGGCCTATGCATTTAAAAATGTCAGTCCCCGTCGACATCAACCAGTCCAAAGTCCAAAGGTCTTGACTATCCAGGACCAGAAGGGAAGCCATCTCGAATAGAGAAAACCCAAGGCTTACCGCGCATCCCGCCAGACCCCCCGCAAGCCCGCTCCTTAATACATAATCCAGACTCCGTTTGTTCAACTCCTTAGAACCCAGGCGGCCATTCTGCTTCACAGGCACTGACGAGCTGGTATCGACATGATTGTTCGCATAGGCCGCGGCATCTATATCGCTCGCGACTGCCTGTCGAGAGGGCCTCGACTGTGCGACTTGTTCCATGTGATGACCGTCTTGCGGGCTTGTTTCCGTCCTTAAGAGGTGATTTTTTCCAGAACTCGATACGACAAGAGACTGATCAAGACTCCCATGGTCCGGAAATGCTGTCGACATAAGCGAAATCCAGGCAAGAGGCCTAGTTCAGGTGGTGGGGAGGCTTTGAGAAGAATGTCGCGGGCTACCGGGTAATCGCGGCCATTGATAAAACGGAAATCGTGGCCAGAAAAGTGCTCCTCTCGCAGAAATCAAGTGAAGTAGATCACAATATTGTGTCAAAAATCTATGGGATCTCTGCGCGACCCACTCGGATGATTGTAAAAGGTAAGTCAACACAGAAGCCGTAGAAGATCGCATGCCTCAACTCTGCCAAATAATGTGCCCTCACTGACGTCGGTCCGCAGGCGGAGGAGCACACAAGACCATAAAGCCGTTACGTTTCTGACATGCCGATACCTGCCGATGCGCACCAAACATTGGTCACAATACCGTCTCATTACGCGACGGTATCCGAGTGGTGGCGGATGTTCTGGGGTGGCCAACCTAACCGATGCCGAATCATTTGCCATCCTGGGCTCATAAAGAGGAGAGAAAGACTAAGTGGATGGTCCCTAGTATTTTCTTCTATCTTATGGACCTAGTTCTAAAGTAATGGAACACAGGTCTTTTCCCATGCAGGGGTTGGCCGCTAAAGCGCAACATGTATTTACAAATATTCAAATCCCCCTTCCCCCCCCCGACAATCATTTCTTTCACCCTTGCTCTAGATGCGATGCTCTTCCGGAGTGGTTATATCAAAATGAACCCAAATCTTCATGGTCTCGTCGCTAAAGTGTGTAGAAGAAAGCGCAATGCGAACACGCTTGTTGCTCATCCAATGCCTACTCGAAAATAGAAATGCCCTGAAACGCCTGCAAATCCAGTGCCCGCCAAAAGCAAGTCAAAGGCTGCTCAGGAATTGTAGCGCGTACCCTGCCGAGTCAGCGGTCTGCCCTGCCGATTCGTCGCCTTGATCTCCTTGGGTTCGTCCGTCACTCTCTTGGCCCGTTTTGAGGGCCGTGAAGGGTCAACATGTAGATGGCCGTTCTCCGACAGGGCTGTCGTGTTCCGCCATTTCAAGCAGCGATGCTTGTGGTCGTCCACGTAGGTCTTGTTCCGCGTTGTCATTCGCTTTGTCTGCAGCTCCTCGGATTCGGCTCGTTCGGCTGTCTGCTCCAGGTACTCCTTCCGGCACTTCATGTATTTGACTATATGGTCGCGCTGCAGCTGGAGCTCCTTGCGTAGTCTGGACTCGCGATTACCTCGTGAATCCAACCAGTCGATCAATTTGTCAATCGCGTCTGGATCATCATAATAGCCCCATTCGTGGGCAGCGGAAAGCCTGGTAGGCCCTTCCTCGTTCTTCTTGCGCTCTGCAGGGGTAGTGTGAAATTCTTTCTGATACTGTTTCCGCTGATCGTCCGGCACGTCGATAAAACCCACGCGCTCCATCTCATCTGGACCCTGGACCCAAAGGCGACCATTTGCATAATGAGCCTCCGCTGTTGAGCTGTTGGGCATGCCGCCGTACGGCATCGCGTTGCGTTCGAACCACCAGTATCGGTTGCAGAAACGATCCTTCCCAAGGCACCTAGTCCGCGGACAATCGGCTTCTCTTAGATCATTATCCACCACCTCAATCTTCTTCTCCAGTTTCTCAACAGTAGCTTTCTGGTCTTCGATCTTCTTTAAGACTCTTTGGTACTGCTTCGATCCTTTTGGCTGCTTGGCCAGTTGCTCCTTTCTCTCCCGCTCCTCTTCCTGTTTTCGCTTTCGTTCAAGAATTCTGTCTAAACCTCCGCGGAGCGACCGTTGCTGCGGCGCGTCGTCATCCTCGGTATCCATGACCTGCTCAGAGTCGCCGTCCACGCCTGACATTTTGGAATCTTCCAAAGCTTCTAATTCAGGCACTGGGGACGGTGACTTTTCTTGCTCCGGTTGGAGCGCCTTCCGCTCTTGGTGCAATCGACGGAGTTCCTCGAGCCTGCAAGGGGGGAAGATGGTTAATCAGGGGAGCTGTGAGGATCTTCGAGGCACTTACGCGACTTTCCGAGCCCTCTGATACTCGATCTTTTCCTTGCGGAACTCGGTCATCTGATTGCTGCACTCCTCCAGGTAGTTTCGAATAGCCTTCGTTTCCAAACTGAGCATGCAGATGATTTGAAGAGCCTGGACGCGCAGATTGACGTTTAACGTGGCGTACTGGGATTGCACTGTTTCTTGGGTAGGCTCGGCATCAAGTGGCGCGAGATGTTTCAGAATATCGTTGCAAACCTTTTCCATCCGTGGTCGGGCTGACAGCTGATGCAGAAGGCCGACCATCACCATCTGCCATCCACCGTGACGGAAATCTCGTTTCCGTAAACGTTCGATCCACCCGTAGTCTCCAAACACCTCCGCTGCACGATGAAGCTCAATATCTTCTGAGTTGGCACGGCTACGATTCGCTTGTGCTTTCAGATTTTCCGCCTCCGCTTTGGCCAAGCTACTCCGCGTTGTCATTCTCGTCACAACAGGTTCAGGTTCCGGGGACGGCTCCTTTTCCTCCTCCTCCTCATCCTCCTCATCAACTTCGGAATCATCTGATTCAACATCAGGAAGGTCCGGCAATGAGACTTGTACGGCCCCTTCGTCATCGTTCTCGGCGTTAACGAGCTTCTTCAGAACAGCGCAATGGATTTCCACAAAAAGTTCGCATTCCACTTCATCCGACGAAAAGCGCATTGCCTGAAGAAAATCATCAAATGTGAACGAGTCTAGCTGGAATACTTCGCAGTAAACGTTGAGAGTGTTCCAAGTCTCCAATAGCAGGCCCACTGATTGCATTTCTATCTTGTCATGCAAGAGCTCTTCATCATCAGGATCATCATTTTCATCGGCTGCAAGGAATTTCAGCGGCGGACGTTGCTTCTTCTTCTCGCGATCCGGTGGAATTTCCAGATCTTCGATGGGATACTTAATTGGAGGTGGAGTCGGCGGCTTGGGGGGCTCGGTCTTGACGATGACTGTAGGAGCAGGTTGTGACTTCTTTTCGTCTTGGGGCTTCAGAGGGCGGGAGGGAGCGTTGGGGGACTTATGGGACACAACAAAGGTAGGATTCCCATTGAGCGAGCGTTGATACTCCAAATACTGAGCCTCCTTGGACCGCGCCAGATCCTGAGGCGAGAGTTTATTTTTTTGTCCCTTGGCTGCAGGCTTCAACTCCGGCAATTGTTGCGATGAAAAGAACCCAAAAAATCCTTCCTGGTCAGCCTTTTTCTGGGCCTTTTTCTCGGCCACCCTTGCACCATACTGCAAATGCTTAGGCACCTCGGTTGGTATCTTGTACTCTTCCGCGATGGACGGTTTGACTAGCCACGGAGCTCCATTCCAAGACTCCCTAGTGACGTTATTCTTGATGAAAGCGCGTAACATTTGCTTCGTGAACGTCTTGCGATCACGAGTGATGTGGTCCTGGTCTAACAAAGCCTCCTCATTGGGACGATCCAAAACTTTCACAAGATATGTTGCATAGGCTGGAGTTTTGAGTGTTCCGTCGGGATATCGCTGCTCCGCGAAATTCGCCTTGTCTCGGATCATGCCATGGAGACGGGTGTTGTCCTCGAGCAGAATCAGGACGGGCTCCCCAGGATAAAAATCCTGCTTAAATTCCTGCCAGTTATCAGCGGGTCTGAACGAGGGAAGGTCAAGGTGGACGTCGTCAGCGACTGGCTGTTACTCACTTCGTAGATCTCATCCACTGGGACACAGGGTCAGCTCCGTTTCTCCGAACACGATCGAGTAGCACTCACCAAGATTATCGACCCGAGATACAGTAGAGAACTGGATTCTACGTAAAATGGGCTCCTTTAAAGCATCCGGAAACGCGTTGTTCACCTCTCGAGACTCTTCCATCTGCTCATGGACAAGTTTTAGCAAGCTGAATTAATAGACCGAACCCACAAGAATCAGTTGACGTACTTCACTCCTAAGGGCTTCGAAGAATGTTAACCCCGAATGACCAGTAATCTCGCAAATAAATCGCTTCTGCTTGTAAAAATCCATTCGCTGAAGGTATGGTTCATAGTTCGTGAAGACCTCGTTGGTCTCTGGGATAACCCAGACCTGCGCCCGTCGTAAGCAAAGATCCCTCGATATCTTTCATTTCGTATATGGAGCATGCATGCCTCGGAACTGTCATCTTCAATAACAGGTCGTGGAAGGTACTGGACTGGTTTGCGCTTGAATAGTACCTAGAGAATGTCGTGAGCCCCGAATATCTCTCGGCCCTCGCGAGCTTTTTTGAAAATTTGTTCGACGCACCATGATCCTCGAAAACAAGAGCGCCGCGCTAGTTTATCATAGGTCGCAGGAAATGGAGACTTTAAGATCGGCAACCTAGGGAGCCTTGCTAACCATCAGCGATATGAGCACCATGGGAGATTCCAGCAATTGCAGAAAGCGCGCAAAGACAGAAAAGAAGTTATTGAAAAATGGTGGATGTAGCAGTCGCCTCGGCGGATGATGAATCCAGGTATGGTGCATTGCGCCAAACATAGCTCAGTAGTGACGTTCAGAGCTCTAACAATATTGCAGATTGTCCCAGGGCGGGACCAGGCGAGTAGGTGCAACAGGAGATGGTTGAGATACTGTAAATTCATGACTTACCGAGAATGGACGCGTCTTCGATCTCGCTGGACGTTTATGCACGGAACGAATTATACCTAGCAACAAGACACGACGGGGTGGGTTCGCGAGTGGCGTCGAAAAAGGAAGGTATCGAAAAGAGGCCAAGAGTCGTGCGGGGAAGAAAAAAGGCGCGAAAGGAAGAGAAAGGCACGAAGAGGTGAGGATAGTAGAGGCGGAGGAGCAGAAGGAGAAGGAAAAGAAGAGTTGAAGAGCAGAAGAAAGGAGAGGCGGTTGCCGCGACCAAAAGAAGCGACGGCAGAACCGGGCCCCATCACATTTGAGGATCATTGCGGCAAGAGGCCCAGTAGTCAGGGAATTAGGATGGAGTGGGAGAGCGAGCGCCGAGGCATACAACAACGGTGATTGGCCCAGAGGAGGAGGACGGGACCCGGACAAGACCTTCAGCGTCGGGCGGAGAGTATTTTCGACCGTTAAAGTACGGTACGGACAAGGCTAACCCGTACCTGGACTGTAGTCTAGTGCTCCCTTACTCTCTCTCTTGGGCCTGCTGCTCCACGCCTGTGCCTACTCCTACCCTCTTCTCCCGCTATCATACTTTATTTCTTTCGAGTTCGGTCACACTTCTCTCAACCACAAATGTTCTTGCACTCTATCTGCTCGTCAGAAATAGGGGAATTTCCTTGACTCACTCTTTGAAAATTCTTTTGCACTAATTTGACCATTATTACGCGGGAGAGATACATGGTCTCGGACCTCCGCAGGGACTATGGGAGACGAGGTAAACAACGAACATCAGCAGCCTCAATGGCTTACCACGCATTATCGAACATGTTTTTGGAATTTTTTTAGACTGTTCCTCACAAGCCTTATTCTCCAGATCTTGCCGTCTTTCTGAGATAGTGGGTGTCATGTGGTATGATTGATGATATCATTCTCCTCAACTACGGTTCTATAGATGAGCTGGCCGGCTTTGATCACTCTGAACTTATGCGCCGGTCCCTGTTATGCCTTGGATATTTTAAGAAAACCCCTACCATTTTTGACTCAGAATGCTCACTATGCTGCTAGATCCGATTGCTCATTCCTCCAAGGCCATAGTTCCAACCCGTGCCATTCTTCTCTCATCCGAATCAGTTTCAGCCACCTGGCACCTCCAAACTCATTCATGACACTCCTATTCAGAAATCTGTTCCAATGAGTCAAGCGTTTACTCGCGTACTCAGTCCCTCGACGGTATGTATTGATGAACCAGTGCGACTTCAACTCCACGATTCAACGCTCGTCTTTGACGCCTGTTGTACGTTCATCGATTCCCTTGTTGCTATTCACGGGCCCTTCCCGTTTTCTCACGCATACGCTGTTTACTTGCGACTTCGAATGCGCCGATCATACCTGATATAAACGTCGCAGCTTCGAAGTGGCTGTCACGGCAGCCCTTTTGCGACTGGGAAACGACCATGTCCCACTATCAACGGAATCCTTCTAATCTGTTAAGCAGGGATGGGACATCTCCCTTTGACCCTGGTATCTATGCCATTTTAGCCAATCCAAGTTGTTCAGTTGGCTTGGGTGACGCGAATTCATATCAAGCCGGTCAGCAAGGGCAGATCCGCGAGACCACGATGCTTAACAGGCGACCATGTCCTTCCTGTTGAATTACTTTTGAGCCTCCATCTGATAAAATACATGCAGCTGCAAAGGCATTGTGTGCCATCGGAGAGAAATACTAATTCTCAGTAAACTAGCAGCTTCAGACGATTATATCTCAAGCTTACATGATCGGCCATAGCAGACGGCCAAATTCGTTCACTTGACGTAGGAGTACTGAGAGATCTATCAAGAAGGATGCGCGTCCAATTAGAGCTGCCTTTTCCAAAAGCTCGCCGTTCCAGCTTAGCTGGAACACAGTTCAAAACTCATCCGAACTTGCGGCTGTATCTCCCGCCGAGGCGGTCTGCTGTGCAACATGAAGAATATCAGATCCAATGACGTAATTTGCCTCGCAAGCAGCTCATATCGAAGCAGACTATGCAGCCACAGAAGGGTTGAGTATCAAGATTCAAGAACATGATGACCTCAAAGAGCGCTCGACACTCCTATAAGTCAACAACGACTCTGCCTTAGCAGCTGTGTGAAGAAATCCATACATCATGAAAACAAGAGGTAGCTCAAATCAGAATAGGTCAGACTAGCCTTTTCAAGATTAGCCCCTGATAAACTTTGCATTTTGGGTGATCAAGTGGGTCAATCTCCAGAACACGTGGTTTGAGCAAACAGAGCAAACATGAAGCTCTGATTCATTACATCATATCTGCCGGCTTTGACAGCTGGATGGTACTCGGCGTTCTGGAAACGATATTTTCAGCGTACAGTGTCTAAGAAGAGGAGACGTATACCGCTGGATAAACTCTGATTTGTATTTCTAAGAAAAGAAAAAATTATGCGGTGAAATAGACGACCATGAACCCGACCCAACTGCCGACTACCCCCAGAGCAGAATAGCTACTCATGAACATCAGCGGAAGAAACTCATAGCGGTCCCATCCGAAAATAAGCTGATGCACCAATGAGCAGTATATAATCAACGGGATAGCCACTGTCAGGTATAGCAGGGACAGGCGGTCAAAAACGAAGATCCGCGGCCGCTCGGAAACCGGGGCGACTTGGTCAAACACGAACAGGAAAAGGACCAGCCACCACACGGTATACACGGTCTTCAGCGGGAATTCGGCTGCTGTGAAAAGCAGTGGGAATAGTGAAACATGTCCTGCAACCGCGAGGGGTCGGAATGCGCTGAAGTAGCGTCGGTCCTTGAGCGCTATCAAACTGAATGGAATAATGATCAGGAGAACAGCTTTCTCATGAACGTGCCAGCCAAACAAGAATGAAGCATAACCGCATAGAGTAATAGCACCAACGAACGTGTCCCAATCCGGATGAAGCCAGAGCTTTATCAGGGGAAGCTACGCGCCGGTTAGGTTATTGATATCGAGTGTCGAGCAGGTGTAGGAAGTACTTACCAATTGGAACAAGAACGTCAGCGCAAATGTTTGTTCCTTTGTGATCTCTGGAAGAACGGCAAAGGATGTATCTCCGACAAGACCGCGCGTGACGCTCGTCAAAGCCTCATGGTTGATCGGAAGGCCTAGGCGTGGAGCGACTGTTATGGTGAGTAAATTTGCACAGATGCAGTCGAAAAATGATTGTACTCACGCGTAATTAGCACACGATCGGCAAAAGAATACATCGCCCAGATATTCGGCGCCCAGTAAGCATGGCACAGTCCTCTCGAGAATGGAAATAGCCTGTCCTTCAGTTGGAGCAGCTGGTTCCAATGAGCGAATGGACCAAAAGCTATGCCAAATACACCAATGACACTCAAGCCCAGTTTCAAGATATTGCCGAACCGGGGTCGAAAGACGGACTTCGGATCCAGACAGTAGGCTCTCAGCAGGTAAACAAAGTAGGCTAAAGAAAGATAAAGGTAGATGTGCTTCAAGCACAGCAGGACCGCGAACAAGATACCACTGTATAGTAGGGTCGATTGCTTGCGCGCCAGAACGATCGATAGGACGAGAATACCGTACAGAAAGCCGTTGTATTGGAAATGAATGTGGTCAATGATGAGCAGCCCAGGCGACAAAAAGATCGAAAGACTTGCGATATGCGCAAGGTGTTTGTTGGCTTGAGGTGCGGATTTGATGAACCTATGATACCCTCCATTAGTCGCAATCTCTTCAGTAAGAAGATTTGACTTGGTGCACACCGGTTCAGAGCATAGAGCAAGATAAGCTCCGTAAAAATGACAGTGGCTCTCTGAAAATAAACGGTCTGCCATGAATCATACTTGAGATTCTCAACGACCAACATTGAAGGATCCACATAGCGAGCCGCTTGAGATAGAAGCCATTCAAAAGCTGCAAAGAAGGGCGGATAGTCGAGGGTCCATTCTGATGTTTTCTTATTGGCAATCCTCCCCGTCAGCGCATTGTCAAATGTGTGTAGATTATGCGGAAGAGCCCAACGAACCTCGTAGTACCACTCCTTAACCGGTAACGAGTGTGTGATAGCAAGCCAGTTCCGATGCACTTCAAAGTCGGTTGATTTGCTGCATAAAATTGCAAAGAAACATCAGTCCCGACTTTCAATTGACTCCATTCTCAGCTTCCTTTCCACGGCAGGAACTCACTAGGCGGGGAAGAGTAGAATCTTGAAAGCCGTAGCGACGATTGCGCATTGCGCCAACGAAGGATAAATATCAGCCATTGGAGCTGTAGCGCATGATGCGCAGTCAAAAGAGTTGGTTCAGGGAGGGTGAGCGCCCAAAGATTCAGGAATCATCTTGCGGTCCATGGAAATGCTCATTGCGGGAGGTGATTCTGGGGAAAATCTTCACGTGACATGATGAACAACAGCGGAGCTCCAAAGGACAGTGTGTCCCTTTAAAGGTAGAGCTTCTGAAACTGATTAGACACCTGCGACAATTTATTTTGAATGGATCTAGCTTCGGACGTGGGAGTTCGTCATTCCGTCGTTCTCTCGAACCTCAAAATCCAACACTTCGTCGAATTCTCCCCAGCAGCTGTTTCTGTTGCTAGAGAAGTCCGCTTCTGTGTGATCGCCATTGTAATTGGGTGGACCACCTCGCGCATCGTCTCCGCGCTGCTGAATCGGAGAGCTCCTTCGGATCAGTGAAGACCATACCGACAAGCTGTCGTCTCATCTTTTCTGTCGCATATTATTATAGATCTCGACAGTTGAAAATTTCGATTCTGTTTTATTCGCATCAGTCGTCTTCCCTTCCTCAATTTTCTATTTTCACTCTCTGCACACCTCTGTCCCCGCATCAATATCCCTGATAAACAATTACAATGAGGAGCTTAGCTTCCTTGTCATTCCTCGTCGCTGCTGCTACAGCGCAGTCTGTGATAGAAAGCTCTAGCTTTGGCTATGGTCATACGTACGTGTCCCTCCCGCTACGCATATATCACATCTGTTCTAATGGATTTCTTAGTATATCGCCAGACAGAGATTCCATCCCTGGTTGGCAGGTTGGGGGAGAGGGCCATACACCTCAGATTGTGCGCTCTCCCATGCCCTTTCTTTGCTTTTCGTCAACTAGAAAAGCTGACCGGATCTAGCTTTCCAACAAACTCATTCTTACTCCCCCCTACCCAGGAAACACAAGAGGTTACGCCTGGTCACAGTCCCCGTAAGCACAACCTTTCTCTCAAATATTCTGCTCACTCCTTCATGTACTGGCAGCTGACCAAGCTATAGCCTGTCTCAGCCAGAATGGTCCGCTGAATTTCAGTTTCGAGCCACTGGGGTTGAGAGAGGAGGTGGCAATCTCCAGTTATGGTATGTGAAAGATGGACGAAGCAAGATTGGCTCCTCCAGCATCTACACTGCTGGCCAGTTTGACGGTTTTGCACTTGTCATTGACACACATGGAGGAAGAGTACGCGAGCCTCATCTTAATCGGTCTTCCTTGAGGCTTACTCTGATTTAGGGTGGAAGCATTCGAGGCTTCCTCAATGACGGAACGACTGATTACAAGAGCCATAGAAGCGTTGACAGCTTGGCTTTTGGGCACTGCGACTATGCTTACAGAAACCTCGGCCGGCCCTCTGTCGTGCGCCTGAAGCACACTAATGCTGTTCTTGAAGTCACCGTGGATGATAAGCTTTGCTTCTCAACGAACAAGGTACAAACTCCTCTGCCATCTATCTTGGTGTTCTAACCATGTGCAGGTCGCCCTTCCTACTGGTAACAACTTCGGCATAACGGCAGCCACTCCTGAGAACCCAGACTCCTTCGAGATCTTCAAGTTCGTCGTGCAACCTAGCGCTTCCGGAACGAACGCAGCACCTCCTGCTCAGCCGCAAGCCAACCAACAACCGATTGCCAACCAAGGACAGGCTCGTCCCGTTGACCCCCGCTCAGTCAACTCTGACCAACTCGCTGATCTCAGCAGCCGTATTCAAAGCCTCAATGACGCCACTAACAGCATTGCCCGCGACGCCAGCAGCCAGTCCTCTAAAGCGGAAAATCGCCATGTAGAGCTTCTTCAGAAGATGGCTACCAAGGAGCAGGTGGCCAATCTTGATGCCCGGTTGCAGAAGATCGAGCAGTTGCTGCAGAACATTCAACGCGACCTGGAAGGCAAAGACTACCGCGACCGCTTCAATCAGCTGCACGAGACCCTGAGGTCCTCGCACATGAGCCTGGCTGAGAATCTGCAAGGCACAATTCTCAATGGTAAGCATTCGATGCCTATCCCTTCATAGAACGCAGTTTCTCTTTAACCAACAAGCATGTGGATTGGGACATCATCAGCTGATCTGCGTTAACAGTCATTACCGCCTCAACCCCTCGCATGGGCTTCTTCATCTGTCTCGTCATCGCCGTGCAACTCCTCCTTGCCGGCTCCTACATCATCTACAAACGTCGCCGTGCGAACATGCCCAAGAAATTCCTTTGAGCGTCTCAGTTACCCGAGTTACGGAGAGTCTGATTTGTCTTTATACTAGACCTTCTGCTCTTCATGATGACATGGCGAAACAAATATGACCTATTTTCTTTGGCTAGTACCTCTTCCGGTTTCTTATCAGACTTTCGACTTAGTACTGTGCACGCGGCTACAAATCTGCAGTTTGGGTTTGATCGAGCCTTGTACGCTTAAGGATGCAATTTCGGGGTGTCTTGCATAAGAATTTCGTTTCTGCATTTGCTCAACGGCTCCGGATATTCTGTATATTAAGTTGAAGCGGATTTGCGTATTCGGCAGTAACATGGTTGTTCAATTGTGTGCATACGATCGATATGCCTGCTCAAACGGAATCGTAAAAGACTCGGTTCATCGGTTCGATCATAAGGTCAAAATCAACGCCATCCATACCGGCAGATCACTGAAAATCTAGGGAGAAATCTATTGTACATGAGACTCGGGCGCACTGACCCGTTCGACCGATCCCCAGATGAGGGGCGGGAGGTCCAGTGGCCACTTGATAAAACAAAGATCATCACGACGTTAAGTACAGTTTGCGCATGGCAAACCGGAGGCTGGCCCAGTATTGGCAGCAGGGCAATCCAGAGGTTGCCAGACGACTTCGTTGTCTTTCCCATAAACGTTCGCAAATCCCGCCAGGTGGAGGATTCGGACCGGGGGAAACGAGCACCTCAGAGCTCTGGCTGGATCCTCCGGAAAGACTGTCTGCCAATTGGTCCAGCCCCCGGAAACAACAAGAAAATTGCAGAAAGAAAAAGGAAGAAAGAGAGGAAGAAAGTGCGTGCCTCCAGATAGGGAAACACAGGGACAAGAGTAAACACGCTCAACAATGAGATGCATGGTATGCTCCAACGCCAGTTGAGGAACCCAAGGACCTTGATGCAAAATGGATATGCATATCGCAACGCCCAGAATATGTGAAAAGCCCTTTTTTCAAGTCAAGCCAAGAAAGAACAATCACTTAGCGCCTTGGTGCATGAAATTAGAAGAGGGATAAAGCCTGAGTCTAAGCAGAAGTTGCCTCGACCGGCGCATCCGAATCGGAGCCGTGCTCGATCGCAAAATTCGGAATAGGTGAACTAGCAGCCTCAGAGACCTGTGCAGTAGTAGCTTCAAGCTCAGTCTGAGCAGTCAACGCTTGAATACGTCGTTCAATCAGCTGCTGCAGGTTACGCAGAGATTCAATTTCAGTATGTGCTTCGGGGAGATCATTAGGCGCCTGTGCTCGCAGCGTGTCGATGAGGAAAGTAATCCGAGCATTGTCGTCCGCAGGCTCTGTCTGATTCTGAGTGGCGAAAGCAAGAAGATTCGTGGCAGCTTCACGATCGGCTGCTGATCGCGAGTTGTCAATCGCTTCTGCGGCATCCGGCAAGGGACGAGGTTGCTGGGCGGCATAGAATTCGACGGCTCGTGCATGAAGTTCATCGCGCTGCGCTCTAGCTTCTTCAAAGTACTTATCTGCCTGCTGCTTGTTGTACTCAAACTCGGCATTTTCCCTGTCCAGATAGTCAGTCAAGCTCAGAAGGGGATTCTAGTCAAAGAGGTAGTAGGATGACTGACCGTTTGACTTTCGCAAGGAAAGCCGCTTCTACCCCTTTTTCGGAGACGCGGTAAAGGATGCCTCCTCCTACATCTTCTTCATTTTCAATTCGTTCTGATTCCTCTTCGCTGGGGAGAATTTCGATGTCAATCATCCGTGGTCGAGCAGGTCGACGGATCTTTCGCGCGTCATAGGCTCCCTCGTCATTCCAGTGGTAATAATACATCTCGTGTTCAACATGCATCGGACAGCGCCAACGTTTATCGTATTTGTGTTCTTGTTGGGGCGGTTTGGCCATGGGAGGGTCCAAACAATCCATATGCCAATTCAAATGACAGAAGTCACATTGTAGGATAGGTTTGTCTCCATCGCTTGGGCGACCGCAGGCGTAACAGATGATGAGATTCCCATCCGAGTCCGTGATCTTGCGTAGGTTTGGATCGTCGTAAAAACCATTGCATACTCCTCGTCCGACTCCGTTAACAAGGTTGTAAGAACACTCGGTGTACCTTGTACGATCGTTTTTATCTTCAGGTCGAGATCCAGTTTTGACGCCAGCGAAGTGATTTCGGATACTGGCGGGTAGCATAAACTCTTTGTTCGCTAGTCTGTCAAGCTTATCCACCATCTTACGGATGGGCCGCGAGACAGAACATTTGGGACAGAACCAATCTCCCTCCGGAGGATTGGCGGGATCCAAGGGGGGGTCGAGGCATGAAAAGTGGAAGGAGTTCACGCAGCCATCGCAACAGAGCAACTGTCCTCGGCCACCGCATTCCCGACAGAGATCGCTGTTGTCCAATGATCCTTCCCTGCTACAACTCGGTCAGCTTCATTCAGTCCCAACGATGAAAAATGCCTAAAAGGGAGTCGTACCTAAAGGTAGGGGTCAGGCGCCGGTTATCCTCAGCACCACTGCTTTCGGCAGACTCTGATTGTTCTCTGCCGTTCAACAAGGGCGCTTCAGGCGCGGTCTGAACTTCATTAATGGATGGGGGTAGAGGCGACAAAGCACTACCAGGCTGCTCATGGGATAGAGTAGAGCGAACGCCACTTTCTTCAGGAACAATATCGGGGAGAGGCTGCTGCAGGCGCTGACGTTTGGCACGGACGGCCTCTTCGGAGAACTCCGTGTCATCTTCCAATGCTCGCTTGCGTGGATCACTCGAGGGCAACGCGGACTGGCGAGTCTGTCTCGATTTATCTTTATTGGCT